ATAAAAATTATTTATTTAGATCAGTATCCGTAAAACAACAAATAACATCAAACCCTGTAACACGCTGAGATTTGATATTCCACCTGTGGTTGGTGTTACTGTATATTCAGTTATAGGAGGAGCACTTTGCACACTAGTGAGAATATTCGCTGGCGTTCTAGAATTTGTGGCTGCAGTTGCTGTGGATTGGGTAGCGATGGGCGTGGTTATCGTGGTGGGGGTAGGAGCGGTTGTTGGTTGGGTAATGTTGAATGGGGTACTGTAGTCGGCTCTATTGATCCAATTGTAGATCATTTGAAGAGCTTGCATTGGCCGATCCAATGGTACAAAATGCCCGGAGCCCTAAATAATGCACAATGATAGATTTATTGTAAACTGGCTTAGTGTCAAGTTTCTGCGCTTCCAGCAAGTTCATATTAGGTTAACACAAACTTACTTTTACGGTCAGTACATCAATATTTTTCGCATATTTCCTGGCAAAACCACCCAGTGTTGGGTAGTTATTCGGATCAGTTTGGTATATCCACGGATTTCGTGCTGGTAACTACAACAGCTACCTTAGCGAGCGCTTTACTAGGAAGTTCCTCAAACTTACAGGTAAACCAAGATTGCTTGCAAAATATTCGGTGGTAAACCATTCTGCACCCATCCAATTGCACATAGTATCAACATCTCCACTGTAGAGCAATATCGTAAAATTCCTAGCGTTATAATAGGGGCTAAATAGGGGGGTTTTTTCACGAATGATAAAGCGATGAAGGCAAGAACCTGTTGATAATGTAGTCGAATGAAGGCGCAGCAGATGGATTGGTCTGGTTGTAGACAGCAATGATACCGCTGAAATCGATTATTGATCGATTGCATGGGACAGCAACACCCACTTTTCACCTTTTTACTTCAAATATGTAGGTTGTAAAATTTTAGAAATTTTCCAAGGATAATGCATCACTGTTCCAAATGTCTGTACTGATAATGGAATTATACTTGTAAGTTGGTTTTGGTGGTGGATTTTGGAATATTTTCGATTTATGAAAAAATTTATAAGTTCTATTGGAATTTTATATGATCGAAGGTTATGTTTTGAAGTTTGCTTTTGTCAAGATCCAAAACGGCAGAGTGTATAAATGGATAGTTATTAAAATGAGAAAAAAATTTGAAAAACGGACGGAGAAACATATATTTTGAAAATGATTGCTATAACCAACTCAAAAGCTTTAGAACTTCTGAACTGTCAATTGTTTACAATATGGATAGATGAAGGAGATTAGCACAGAAGTCATGTGATAGGCATGATTTCGAAATAATAATTTCTAGAGTCTTACCCGTCAGCCACCCATTTCGAAGCCGCTGCTGGAATGTTTAGAGCACTTTTCACAGAATTGAGGTTCAAATAATTACTAAGAGCATCATTCATGTAGCAGTAGTAGCCCATATATGGATCAGATGAGTCGTAGTTGTTTCCAGTCTGAGAAATGCTTTTTTATAACGTAAGGACATCTGTCACAAATTTACGCGCCATTACCCATGTATCTCCTACGGAGGTAGTTATATTGCTAGATTTCAGTGTATAGCATTGCTGGTAAAGGTTGTAAGGATCAAATTCTTTCAACAAGATGTCAATTCCTTGATGGATCATCTGCAAACTTCATCTTAATGGCTAGGTTAATACTTCTGAACTGTCAATTGGCGGACATATCCAGGCGGACAACTGACATGAATATAACAGGGGTCATGTGGATTACCACCCAAAATCATTCCATTCCACGACGTAATATTAGAATCTAAGCGACAGTCCAACTCATCTGTCACATTCTTACAGCAAAGCGATATTATTGTTGTGTAGTTCCTGCAACGAATCGAATCACATGATAGGCGACAACTAGCACAAATCCCTACTCGTATGTCAGTTGTCCATGGTAGTATGAAAGGTGGAACAAGGAATTCATGTCATGTACTTTACTCAGCACTCCATTTCCTACAGCTAAGCCCTAAAAGTAGCATTTTGTATGTGCGGAAAATTTTTTTAAAATCCGGAATTACCTTGTAATTTATGTCTAGCGTTCCGTTTTGGATTCCTTGTATTAGTAAAGCAGAAAGGGTTGGGATGTAGACCCCAGCGTAGGATTCACCAGTGGTATAAAAGGGTCGACCACGATATTCCGGATAGAGACTGAAGAAATCCACCAAGGCTGCATAGTTTTCCGTAGCAGTCTCAAGGATAAATTGTGAGGATAAGAAATGGGCCAATCACAGAGAGCGCTTGTCACGCCCACTCGCATGGGATTGGCTGGTACTATTGAACTCACCAACTCGTCTGAATATTGTGGCAATACACCATCTGTTGAGTACGAGTAGCCAACACCTACCGGCGACTCCAAATACAGTACATTAGCGAACTGTAATTACCGTAAATCTTCTTTAGAATAATATTTAACTTGACCCACCTTATTCCAGGAATAAGGGTTACTTGTCACGGTTATGCCGTCTTTCCCAATTCTGAATGGTCCATTTTCGAAAAATAAACCTTCCAAGGAGCTTGATCCTGGTCCACCATTGAGCCATAGAAGCAGCGGTGCAGTAGCTGGGTCCACAAGCTCTGATTCCACAAGCCTAAATCCCTTATTATCTACTAATCGATAAATCGATTTTATTAACACCAGTAGTGCAGCATATGTGTGTCAGATCCTTTAAAGAATCCTGAATATTGTTTGAAAGGCAAGCTCCAATCTAAACCAGGCATCGATACGATTCGATCGGTTTTCTGCAATGATAAACCTGGAGTACCAAAATTGTGCAAACAAACAATCACTAAATAGCAAAGCCACGCCCACTCGCTCGTGATTGGCCGAAGGCATGTTTGATGCAATAACCCACTTTGCGCGTGCAATTAGGAGGTGACACTGGAGTAGAACTTGTAGGCTGCGGAGTTGTGTCAACCTAAAACTTAATTAGAATTCCAATTCATAAATATGACCATAAGACAAAAGTAGTTTATGAATTTTTGAGAGTCTGCAAAAATGAAGCATACGTCAAAAATAGGTGTACTGTAATTGTAGTTATTCCTCAAGAAATTGACGAGCATTTGAAGTGTTTGCGCGGGTCGATCCATGGGTACAAAGTGACCGGAACCCTATAAAAGTACTAGGAACGACTGCATTATTATAGAAAAATCTTCTCGCTTACCTTGACTGTCAGCTGTACGACATTTTCGGACCATGCTTTCACATAACCAGCAATTGTTGGCATAAACTGTGGCGCTTGTTGATATGTCCATGGTTGTCTTTCCATAAATGTCTGAACATTAATGGTGAAATAAGTCCCGCGTACAAAGAAACACATTAAATGAGCTCTTCGGATTTTATGGGAGTTTATGATACGCAAAGAAGCCCGCCAAAAAATCATAGAATACAAAACAGCGAACTTAGAATTTTGACATTGGTAATGAGCGCAGTTTTCGATAAATATTATTTTTTGATAGAATTACCCTAATTTCCGGGGTATAAGGCGCAGTAGCTTTCACCGCGCGCGGACTCTTAATAGTAATTTGTTTCAAAACAAATCTCTATCTATTTTTTGATTCTCCGGAAACTACAAGAATAGTACAAAAACGTTCAAAGTATCAGTGGTATCATTGTGAAGGATAGCACAGTTTCGGTACCAGTAGCATTATTGGAAGAGAAGGAAAGCACAAATGTAGCACCCATAATATCATTACAGACAAAAGAAAGAATCATCTAAACACCATAAACACCATTGGGAGCACCTTCCTCCCACCTGTAGAAACGATATCAAAGCATACATTCTGAGAACAGGGAAAATACTTGGAGGCTTGATTTATGGGCAGTGAAGAAAAATCACAGCACATTGATTCTTCAGCTTTCTAGATTTAGAGAGCGATTATTTAGAAGGCGTTCTCGCGCCATCGTTCATTGCGGCGTGTGCGCCTTATACAAGGTGCGCCTTATACCCCGGAAATTAGAGTACTAAACACTCACTTCCACCCCCTTCATAGTTCATTCTTTCTCTCACACACTGGTAACTGATCAAACCTTGCTTGAAGTAGATCTCGAGAAAATATTCATTAAACATCATTCATTCAAAAAAGGGTGCATTAAGATATTTGAGAATTTTATTGATCTAATAAATTAGTTCATGTAAAATTGGAATCCCGTCTTATTTGGTACGCAAAAATTACAGATTGGAGATCCCAGGCCAGAGGACTGCATGGGAGTGGTCCTACGCGGATATCTGCAACAGGCCACGCAGCCGTGCATATTATAGGCATAACTATTTTGTACCAGCTGTCCTATCGGCGACATAGAGTTCACTATCGAAGATCCCAATACATTTTTTGGAAAGCAAGAATGGTGGAAATAAATTTGTGCCACAAAGAATTTCGAACTTCTAGCAATAAATTCAACCATCAATATCTAAAATTTTTTTGTTTATACACTCACTGACATGTTCCTTAATTGTACAAGGTTCTCGATAAACCATTGATCCCCAAGAAATTGGCATACTGTATCCACATCCCCATTATAGAACATCAATCTCATGTCATTGGCTGTGTAAGCCTTAGAGAACATAATTTCTTGTATGGTATCCGTCATATCGTAGTAGGTCTTCTGCTCGTTGTAGTCCAGATCACTGCAAGAAAACTCGTCCGCAAATCGTCTACGATGTGCCAATGTCAAAGGACCTGCAATCGGTCCACATCTGGTTGTGGACGAGTTTTGCATGGATGCTTGTTACGACGTCATCGCGATTCAGGTACGTCTGCATATTGTCGTCATTGAAGCAGGGAAAACCGTGGAAAGCATCCGTTGAACCGTACCAAGATTTTTCCTGAAGTGTGTGATTACGGAATTATTGAGAAAGCACGGTTCTGTTTACATTGTTGTCCGTAAATATGGGTGCAGCTTCTGCCTTTAGCCCTAGGGCAGCTTTTCGCCTTAGAGCAGCTTTTCTTCTTCTTCCCGCAATTTTTGATTGTTTTCTCGTAAGCTTATCCATAGAAACGGATTCCTGATAGCAGTCTTGATAGATATTGTAGGGATCATCGCTGAATGAACAACGTTTGTACTGAAGTATATAGTATGGGTATTGATTGTTCACCTGTATTCTTGAACTTCTTCATATTTTTGTTGTGCAAAAGAGCATTGTGAAGTTCTATTGGTGCTCGAATAGTCGAAGTAAATAGGATTCGATTGATTATGAGTACAGTACTGAGTGAGTAGGTTCCAATCACTAACATTTAGTGAATTATTCACAAATCAAAGAATTGCAAACACTCACTCAATCCCGTTAAAACCTCTGCCATACTGCAGCGGAATTTCTGAATTTTGCTGAAGATATTCGCTCAAAATGCCATTTCCAATAGCCATTCCCTGAATTGGTATAACGATTATAAATTAGCTCTCGTCATATTTTGAGGACGGCGAAACCGATGCTGATGATTTTTTTCATGAAATTATAATTTTTAGATCTAGAACCCAGGGCCTGACACGCGTTGGTTTGGAGCATTCTTGGAAACGAAGTCCCCCATGACTTCGGGAAAATTCACGAAGTCCTTTTGACGTAAAAATAGTAGGAAAACCCTTATTCAATTAACATGACAACAAAGAAGCGAAAAAAGCGCATTTTGAGATATATGATTTAACAAAAAAGCAAAAACACATTCTGATTTGAATAAGAGCTCTGCCATTGTGTATGGTACCATTTTAGTGCTCAAAATGTCCAAAACTCCCTAAGCGACCAAGTCTGTGGCCTTAACAATCTGGTGATCATTTTTCGTCACACAGTTCAAGGGACGACGCATGTGATTGGAGCGCGATATTTATCAGGACGTCTGTTTACACTACTTTTGGCTCAAAAAGAGAGGAGAGGCAACGATTTGGTTCGCTTTCTTCACTGTATGATAGACTTTTGAGCGTTCTAATCGCTCAAATCGGAAAGGTCTGAGACCTATGTGAAGATATTTATGTATTATATATTATTTATCTCCGATATTTATGCTCCGATCTAACCCAGTTGGTTTGATGTTGGTCTAGAAACCGACAAATTTGGAAACGGGGACTGGGACACATAAGTTTTCAAAACTTTTACATAACATAGTTTGGAGTAATATTGTATACATTAGCCCAAATTCTATGCCATGTGAGTGTTTGTGCGCTGTAAAAACAAGCATTCGTTTGTTTGAGTCTTGCGTTTAAAATTCGCGCGCTTCGAAAGAACACGTTTATGTGATATTTTTCGGCGCTTGCCTAGGAAATTTTGGTTATAAACGATATCCCCGTTGCTTCTAACCTCAAAGACGAAGTCCGCTTTGACCCCAGAACATCTATGCCGCGCCCTGCTATAACCACAAAAAATTTTCTTTTTTGATGAAAACTTGCTTCATAATGTTTACAAAATTCATTAGTCATATCAGTACTCATATAGTATTTGGATTAACCCTTGTTTTACCGGTCCGAACTGGTAGAAAGAATCGTGTTAACTTCTGGGCGGGGCATGTTAATAAGATGCTAAAAATCGTCAATGGTGGCTTCCTGAATTTGCTTTTTTGCATTTTTTTTGTAATTTTTGACCATAGTAGTTCTCAACAGCTTCTCTCATTTCTAAGGGGAAACTCGAAAGCTCCAGCTAAACTGGACACTTATCCCTTCTTAATTACCATGAACGTAGAAAATTTCCAACTTACCTTGAAATTTCCGTTGAAATCCCCTTTATCGATCAACTGCACTAGTCGAAGTGCTAGAGTAGGCGCATAAACTCCGGCATAACTCTCACCCGTGACGAAAAATTCATTTTTCTTGTATTGGGGAAACACTTCATCGAAAAAGTACTTTACGACTTCGGCATTGTTGTCGGCAGTCTGCAAAATCAGCCAGTGAAAGATTGGTACGACACCAATCAATAATTGACTTACCGTATCATCTGACCAGTAATAGTTGGGATCATCAGTATATGAGAAACCAACACCAACGGGTGCTTCCAAAAATAACACATTAGCTACCTGCAATAAGCACAGTAACCAATAAATCAATAAAGAATATCAACTCGGTCCGAAACTTGCCTTATTCCATGAGAAAACGTTTTCATACAGAGTTGAGCCATTGTCATTATTATTATGGAAGGGCCCAAGTTCTTCGAGAAGACCTCCTAAGTTTGGAAAAATAACGGCAAAAGTCCACTGCTGAATCATCGGTGTCTATCTAACCCAATGAGCTGCAGCCTGGACCACCATTGAGCCATAAAACTACTGGGTCACGTACAGGATCGTTCTGGGACTCCATGAACCTAGAACAAAGTTTAGGAAGGGCAAGATGAGCACATATACGGTTGGTCAGTTCAAAAAACACATTTATCACTGATATCGCCCATTACCACCGCCTTCTTGGACTACTGTTCCATTCATGGTATTCAACTACGCGAGCGAAAGGACTGCTTGTCCGCGGGAGGGAGCTTATTCACGGTGTTTGTTGATTCAACCTACTTTTCTCAGGAAACGCACCCCAATATTCTGATGTACTAGCCGATATTTATTTAAAATGGTATCTCTCACTAACCAGTAGAATAAATGGTTTTGGGGGTATGCACTTGAAGTCAGATATCCAGAAAATTGCCGGAAGGTGACGTTGAAAGTAACTCCAGGTAAAGATGTAATTATATCCTGCTTTGCCTTTTCCGTTAAGCCGGATGTGTCAGTGTTGAACCGGATTTTGTTCTAAAAAGACCAATTAGAAAAATACGGTGAATGATCTACAAAAGTCGATGATACCGTACCGATACCCGTGCAGTGTCTTCAGCCTTTGAAGTCAGTGTCGGCATAGTTATCACGGGCAGCGGAGACGGTGCAGGATAAGCTGTCGACGAGCAAGTTTGCAGGTCCGAATATTCGGGCTTCAATGGGGCAGGGACCAAGGAGAATGGTAAATACTTTGAGATGTTGCCGAGGTCGGTTGCCTAGAACATTTTTTTTCGGACTGAAAGTGCAATTCAGGCCTTCCATTCTGTCTAGAACAACTAACCATGACAAAATTGTAAATCATTTGCAGCGCTGGTCCAGGACGATCCATAGGCACCAAATGACCGGATCCTTTCACCGTAACGAGATGTAGATTGTTTGAGAAGGACTGAAAATGCCCTTTGATTACTTGAAATCGCAAGAAAGTAGAATTGACCTTATGAAAACCAGCAAGTTGTGCTCGATATCGTGGTGATGTTTTGTAGAACCACGGTTGACGTTGTTGGGTAACCTAGAAATACTAGAATCACTAAAAATTAACCCAGTTGTTACCGGGTTTGATACTCGCTTACCGATAACGACAGATTCGCAGCAACGTCTTCAATAAGCCATTGATCTCCCAAATGATTACAAACTTGATCCGTGTCGCCATTGTAAATTAATGTGCGCATGTTGTATTCCTAAGAAAAAATCGATTATCGATTTTTCCCGTTACCCATGCGCTGCAGCTTATAGAGTAATCTGTTCAAAAATGAAAAAAAAAACTTTTTTTTTTCAGATAGTCTCTAATTTCTATCCTAAATTTATGCTATCCACAATAGCATAGTTTCTATTTTGAAAGTGGTAGGGTAAGGGGACGAAATTTATAGAATCTTTGTTCAGTTACAGGTGAGCGAAAATTCGCAGGTTCTTGAAAATTTTATGGAAAGCCAAGCCTCCTACATTTTTCGCAAACTTATGATCCGTAAACTCAAAAAATAGCATGTGCTTATCTCAATTTTTCGTTCCAAAAAGTTGATCTTTGGACCTAGTCTATTTCGATGTGATTATAGGCTGCATAATTTCACAGTTCATGCAGGGATATATCAGAAATTTTCGACCCTCGGAAAGATGGGGGGGGGGGTGGGAGTCTGGCGAAACCATATAGCAAATCTACCCACATTTGATGTTTTCTTCTAGTAAGCACCAAACTATTAAAGACTTTACAAACTTACTTTGTAAAAAGTATTCGAAAGTATGTACTTTAATTCGCCATCTAACTCGAAATAACTTCGATTGTAGTACTTGGTGTTGAGATCATTGCTAAATGGTGTAAACTGAACTATTTCGTGTCAAAAAATGGATAACCACCCACTTGAACGTTTGCCAACTTCCTACAGTATCCGGAATGTGAAGCGCTCTTCGCACTTCTGGCTGATTCATGTATACGGTAGCGGCTTGATCACACCAACATGGGAACCCGTTCAAGGAGTCGGACGAGATGCGATTGATGTACTATAGAAGATATGATTTGAACACAATTGCGAAGAAAAAGACTTACAGGATTTGTGGAAGCAATATTATCGGCTGAGGACGAGTTGTCCAATGGTGTTTGGTAGCAGTCTTGGTAGATGTTGTATGGATCGTTAAGCGATTGCCAAACTTGGTCATTGACGATTTTGAGGATCTGACGGCAGAATTATGAGGTGAGGTGGTCTATATGAAAAAGTCAATAGATACAATAACCAAGATTTAGATCAAAAAATATGAACAGAATTAGCTGAAACTCTTCCACAACAAATAATTGAAAATTTCCAAAAACCTCAAAATTTCCAAAAATTTGCATCTTTTGAGCTTTCGCACATTTTCTTTAAAAAGTTTTTCTCCTAATACCACAAATAACCTAAAGTATTACATTTCAATCAGCGACCCGTTTCACTTCAAATCTGCATATTCTATTTCCATACAAGCGTGAAAACATTAGCGTTTTCTTTTGAATTCTCGAATAAAAATCTCTAGCAGTTTTCACATCTTATACTGAAGCTGTCTTTCAGAGGAACTGGTAAAAAAATCGCTTTTCATATTACTGATGTGCAGGCGAACAAAATAGATAAAATGAAGAAACGACACTAATCAAGGAGAGCATGAACGAGGTATGCTTGTCCTACAGTATAACATGTAAAAAAGCATACAAAAATCCCTATCGGCGAATCTATGGGTCGTAAGCCAACCTAGAGATGGACGAATTCGATTTACTTACCTGTTGAGCACACCATTGGTCGGCACCATCTTTTGGAAGATAGTTACCCAGGTAATCGAAGTAGATATAAGGAGTGTAGAAATCGCATTTCGTGGTATCAACAACTCCAGGGCAACATCTTGCAGTTAGATTATCGTATTCGCTAAATTAACAAGTCTTTGATGGCTAAAATTATCGCATTTTTTTTCAGCTATCTACATCTTGGAGCCTTTTACTATGCCAATAAAAGTTAAAACCCACGTTTGACCAACTAATCCATATGTGTAGAGTTGGAAGATTACAGAATTTACTTGGTGTTTCGTTGTCAGCTCACCGTTTCCTATTGCGATACCCTGAATACAAAATTTTTTGGAGTGTATAAATAAAACACATTCGTTACCTTAAAATTGATCATCAAATCTTTCTCGTATATCCCACGCAAAACTCTTCTTGTAAGTGTTGGTATGTAAACTCCGCCATATGATTCACCAGTGATGAAAAAAGGATTTTGATTTTGTGCGTACATAGGATAGATGCTGAAAAAATCCTTCAGCGCGTTGTAGTTTTCATCGGCAGTCTGTAAAACACAAATTCATCAATTTGAAGGTTTGGTATTGAGGCAATAACCCTTCTTTTAATTTTCCTTGACAGAGACGTAAATTCTAAGGAAAAAAATTTTTTTTCTTACTTTAATTTTTCAAACATAAGGATCAAGGAATGCACAATTACAGGAAGGTCTTAGGGTATTATTGAAAAATAAATAAATATACAGGGTGGTCCATATGAAGTGTGACACAACAAAAAAATATTATAGCTTCGCAAGTCAAATGAAACCAGATTTTCTCCTCATCTAATAGAGAAAAGGATTCTGCATAAGATTTTTTGATCATTTTTTAGATACTTGTTTTTAATTTTGATAAAATCATTTATTTTCTTTCAATTTTTACCAAAAATTCTTCGTTTTGCGCGCACTGGTACTTGGTCGCAAACTTTCACCAGGTCTCCTTTTGGCAAATCAAGTAGAATGCGTTTTGAAGATCAGACTTTTTTCTTTCAGACTCACAAAAAAAGTATTTGTGGGATTGAGGATGGGCGAGCTAGAAGGCAAACATCATTTTTTTTCAATGTCGGAATAATGTTTTTACACAACTGCAATTTCTTCTTTTCTCGTGAATCGGTGTCTAGTCATGCTAAAAATTTCAACAGCGTCCATAGTGTTTGCTTTGATCCAAGAAAGTACCATGGTCCTTCAAAGTTTGCTTCTGATGCTTATTTTGAAAATTTCGAAAAATTGCGGTTTTCGTCGCCACGACGACCACCAATAAGCCTTCAAGTGTGATCAGGTTCGACTAAGAAAAGTGAAGTCGGGAACAGACAACTGGGACAAAAAAATACGGAGAAGACGAAACGAAGATCTTTAAAACGTGGAAAGAAATAGACCAGAAATGGTTTTTTCGCAGTCCATCAAATTTCATATTTGCCTCATATGGACAAACAATATTTGGCCTTCCGAATCGAACATTCATAAACCCACGAATTCTCCCTTTGTTCTCTCTGTAAGCAGAAAGTCCGCTCTTCCAATTCCAGGCCATTAGATTTGCTAAAGGAAAGCTAGCGAGAGCCCGGGAGAAATTTTCGCCAAAAACCATTGCGCGCATTTTGAAATTTTCTCTGGGCAGAACAAATTCTGTCACCAAAGGCAGAGATGGACTTCTTGGAAGTAACCTATGAGGACTTATACAGATTTTCTTTGTCTATTGGATGAAACAAAATCGTCCAATTTCATTGAGTTTAGGCGAAGTTACGAAGAATTTTGTCCGTCACATTTCATGTGGACCACCCTGTAGGTGTATAAAAGAAATATGCGAGAACTGGTTCCCAAATGAGTGCTATCTATTCCACAATCCATTTTTGAATTGATAAATATTCTGATCACTGTCACTAATCCTGGGTGTAACCTATGTTTCTGACACTTTTCAATCAGAACTCAATAATGACATTCTCAGTGGTAGATTTGTAACAATATAATATGTGAAGTTACTCAAAAGGCGGCAGAGCGGGTCTCAAAGCGCCTGTGTCTACTGTAAAAAATATAAAGGCTTACCTGATCATCGGTATATGCATTATCATTCGGCTGCGTCGAATACGAATAGCCGACATTATGCGGAGCTTCCAAGTACAATATATTTGCAAACTAGGACATTATTATTAGTTAAAAAAATTGAAAATTTCTAATGAAATTGTTTTCACCTTATTCCATGAAAAAATATTCTCATATAGAGTTTTGCCATCTTTATTGGGGCGGAATGGGCCGTTTTCTGTGAGCATTCCCCATATGGAGCTGCTGCCAGGACCACCATTTAGCCATAAAAGGAGCGGCGCAGTCGAAGCATTGTGCTGACTTTCCACAAGCCTGAAATTCAGGGATGGATAGCTATTTGGAAATACATACGGCGTTATAAACAAGGTCACTACAAATGGCTCACTTTTGTACAATTATCCCTGAGAAATATGTTATCATGAAAAGCCAAATTTTAAAAAATGCGCAATTTTTTCCCGCTCACCAATAATGCAGCATATGTTTATCTGAACCTCGCAGATACCCAGAATATTGCCTGAAATTTGTTTCGAATGTCAGACCCGGTAGATTCACAATCTGTAAAAGACTTCATAGCAAAGTACGCGAAGTTACAGAATCTTTAACCAACCCTATCGGCATCCATTCGTTTAGTATTAGGATTAAGCTGTTGGCTGTACTCAGGCCGAAGAGATGCAGCTCCCAGGTTTAGAGCACTTAGGCAATTATCATAGCTTAGACCACGGATAAAATTGCGCACGACTTGCAACGTTTGCGCAGGTCGCGTGAGAGCCGCTGATTGGCCGGCACCCTGAAAAAATCAATTATCGATTGGCTATACATTATTGAATGCGAGAAGCATAGAAGATTGCGTATTTTGCTTAGTCTATGATTTTAACTAAAAACTTTACAAGAGTTTCTCATATGCATGGGTACAAAAATCTAATATTCAAATTTGCGTACCCGAATTGAGAGGACATGCAAATTTGCGGTGTAGAGTGTTCGTAGACCACCATCTGTGTCGTTATAGATTCCACGATAATAGTTGGCAAGCCATGTGTCCGTTCTAGTAGCCTAAATCATCACTGTCAACATACCTGGGCGACTAAGCGTCCAAAGTTGCCCATGTGCCAGGTCGTGCCGGTACCATGTCAGTGCCGTGCCGATGCCGTGTCAGCGCTGTGCTAGTGCCATGGTGGAATCCACGTGGAATATGTCCATCCTGATCGATTGAGGCCCTGGCACAGCGCTTTCACGTCTTTGGCACGCGCAACTATGCATACTAAAGCAATGCTCGACAAATCGATAAATTAATAATTTACACTGAATCCTTGTGCAGTAGCGAAATTGCGAACAAAATTTTGTGCACTCAAGAAATTGTTAGTGGTGTCTAGATCGCCATTATAGAACAATATCTGGAAAAATTGAGAAACTGCTTTGAAGTCAAAATTAACAGGGAACTTACAGACATATTACGAGTGGTGTAGTAGTCACTGTTCAGTACATTTTTCAAATCGTCCGTTAAGTCTGTCGCCAAAGTATCACGATTAAAATGCCTAAAGATTGTTGTACCGGACTCGACGGACAGAATCGAAATTTCAGCACTAAGACCATGCCCGTACTCTACCAACAGCTTAGGTACGGTATGGGTGCGAGTTCAGAGCTCCACGAATATACAATGTGAGTGGCCTTTTGAGAAATGGCACAGTTACTTCCCAATAAATAATTACATAAAAATATCCATGTACCCACTCAAGTCTGGACCTTCCTTCAATCCTCCTCCCCCCTCCCCTCTCCCATGAACCATATCCAAAAATACCAGTGGCGTACCGAGGGGGGGGGGTCGCGAAATATTTGAAAGTTACTTATAAGGGTTATAAAAATGTGCAAACGACTTGTTTATACTTGTAAATAATTAAAATAATTTTTAAAAATTTTTGAAAATTCAAATTACCCTTGTAAAAAAAATTTTTTCGGGGGCGTGGGGTTGGGGACCCGCAAAAATTTTGAGAAGCACCTCTAAAATTTTTTCGGAGTGCGTGGCTAACGCCAGGCACCTTCATTCGAAAAAAATTTTTGTCGCCCCCCCCCGAGCGGAAATCCTGGGTACGCCACTGAAAAATACTCACGAACACGTCCTGAATGGAACTTTAGCGTGTAGGGCATTTTGTACATTATCATTGTACAAATAATCTGATGTAGAATCGCTAGCCCGACAGGGATAACCGTTCCAAGGATCTGACGATGCATAGTTATTTGGGTGCTAAAAAATCAAAAAACGGTTGAATTATTAGCTCAAACAATATGACTATTCCTCTTACAAACCGTTAATCCAAGTGTAGCCACTTTGTCTCTGAGAAGTTGGCGTTGATAGTAACAGTCTTGGTACATATTCGTTTTATCGATTCTAAAAAACACTTCATTCTATACGGGTCAGAGATCGATAAATCAATAATGACTGACTTACTGATATGTGAACCAGTTCTGTGCGGCTAATTGTGCTTTCATTCGGCATGTCACATCGGAATTATTGTAGAAGTCACACGACATCGTGGATTGTCCAGGACAGCACGATGAACGTAGATCGTCCCATTGGCTAAAATTGGAAGGTACGGTTATTGCTATTTGTATGTATTACACCACGTTTTGTGAGCGTGGTTCATTTAAAAAATAAGAGACTGCAATATTGTGTTGTTTTCAAGCATCTACTTCCAAGTGAAATGGATCAGTGGAGGCGGTAAAAAAGAGTACGTTTGAAAATTTACCAATCAGTGCGATGTGAAGACGTAAACAGCGAGATGATCTCAGAAAATGGAGACCATGCGCATGATTATCAGGCATAACACCAAAATCTCGAACAAGTTTTTCCGAATGTAACATTTTTCGAGTTCCGTTTCCACGGATTCTGGCACTGTCGCCGCAAGAATTTCAGTATAACGCTAGTCACGGTAGGAACTGTTATATTCGGCAGTTTTACAATTTGGCAATGCTTCTCACATAATGAGTGTTTTGTGCAATTTGGGAGCTGAACTAGACATAGGCCTGTAGTAAAGCTGCCTCATTCGATCTCAACTGAGGAAAGCCTCAACTGAGGTTTCGACGAGTCAGCTCTGCCTCATTTGAGCCATTGATTGATGCTTCCAACCATCCACATTGATATGATTAAAGGCAGCGTCCACCCAGAATTTAACCCCCCATGTCTTCGTCATTCTGGGGCCTTTCCGTGGCCCTGATTACAGTTCCGAACTTCAAACTCTCTATTCACAAAAAACCCGATTCTTGGGGACCCAGTCTTGAGGGCGCGGACGAGTTTCGAATTGCTCGTCCCGTCGGCAGGCCAGGGGGAAGGAGCTGCAACTGCATGGGTGCAGTTGCATTGCAGTGTGCAGTGGGCAGCTTCTGCTCACTACCTTGTCAAAACATGTCGGGAGGCACGTATTGACAAGGTAGTGAGCAGTCCCTGGTGGGCGGAGTCTGATATCAGACTCCGCCCAGCCAGGGACTTTCAGGCCCCTTATCTCCATTCAGAGACAACGTTAGAAGACCGGATCAACGCAGATGCCCCTTTTCTGGGGCCTACATTCAGGACCGACACTAACCAAAGGGGGTTAGGTTTAGCCTGGACACTGCCTTTAAGTACGTCCGTTTATGCAAGTATACAAGTCAAAACCCGTTTGCCAGACATTCACATCTCTGTGATTGGTACTGCCGGCGAGATGTGGCCGCATTGTTAGATCTTGTCGAAGACGTCATCCTGCACAATGGTTACTCACTCAGCATTTTCGACGTTTGAACTGACGTGTATTGTAACCTACTTATAAGTAACTCACAAAAATCCTCTCAAAATCTCCTCATTAGCACACTACTTTGGGAGATCATCGCTCGAATCATCTCCGATGACTCGGCAGGTAGATCATCTCCCTGCCGAGCCTGACCTGAGGCTCACATGTCAGATGACGTTACATTCTTATAGCATGGGAAAGTGGGTCGTCAAATCACCTGACGGAACCTCACATAAAGGCCTCATGGAAGATCATCTCTCCTGATAGAGCTTTACTACGGGCCATATGCACATTAGACACGTCTCGCACGAAAGAAAATTTATCAGATCTTAGATTCCAAAAGGAGATTACGGCTGCAAAGTTATTAGATAACTACCAAACATCATTGGTGAGGCAGGCGCCATACTCCTCGAAGAGCATAGCATGGCGACGGGCGATCGCCATCGCTACGACTTGCGATCGCCAATCGTTAAAGTCGGCGACACATTAGATAGCTATCGATTGCTGGCATGAGACTACATGTTCAATCAATATCTATCCAACGTGTAGTCGCCAAAATTAGCGATCGCCAATCGCTATGACTGGCGATCGCTAATCGCTATCGGCGACTGTGTCTTTCATAAGTACTGGTCGCTCAAGTTACCACATGCCCAAGATACGCATCCAACGTAAAGTTGCCAATATTGGCCCAGTTTTCGGCGACTACACGTTTGATATGTATTCGATTTAATTGTGGTAACTTGTTTGCGATTAATAGGTATGTAAAATACAGTTGCCGATATCAGCGATTGGCGAGCGATTGATCGCCAGTCGCTAATAGGCGACGAGCGATCGCCAATATCGGCGACAATTTTGCCGGTTTTGCACGTATTTGACGCGTATCGATCGTCGCCATGCTATACTCCTCGAGGAGTATAGCGCCTGCCTGACTTACGAGTTGCCAACCATTTCTTAGTCATTATGTGATCTAATTACAAGGCCCGCCACTATTACATGATATCTATGGTTTCATCCCCTGTTGTCAAAACCATTTTTATTTGGTGGCTAAAAATCGGTGGTCTTTTATTATATCTGTACTGCAGTCTGTGTGGTGGCGAGGTTTTGTGAAGGCTCCGCGATGCAGAGCAGCTCCTCGGGTACCTGTGCATGCCGCGTAACCTGTTGCGCCTTTAGTCGCTGCAGGACCAATTCAGCTGCGAAAGCGGCCAAGTGGCGGGTATATAAGGCTGCGTATGAAAGCGCTTCTTTGACTTTCGTTCCCGTTATTGATTGCTCAGTCGGACTGAGTCTCTAGCGGCCGACCTTGTCACAGGAACCCAGAATCTCCTTGTGCGGATTGATTGTAGCCCATCGGGAGTACGAGACGACATGACTCGTCCTGTGTTAGCTTTTGGTACTTGTTTTACCAGCCGTATGGTAGTTGGTTTCAGTATATCTCCATTGTTGGTTTATGTGTTTAGGATAGAGTTGGCTACTTTGGACGCGAGCTGTTTGCGGGTTGTTTGGTGGGTGACCGTGTCGAGTGGACTTGCTGAATCGCACGTCGATAGCGGATGCTCAACAGAGGTGCAGGATTTTAGGTGCGAGGCTGTCGAGGCTGTCGAGCACAAGGCTAGGGGTGCTGGACCCACCAAGCTGCAACACTGCGAATCGGCAGAAGTGGAAGAGACGTTGTCCAGAAGGCCTCTGACCAACACGAAGGCATCAAAGTATAGTGCAATGATTGGAAGAATAAAGCCGAAACCTGTTTGAGGAATCAGTTTGTGATAAATCCCAGTCCCTTACACTTTTACCTGGCCGCAGCTAGTTTCAGAGGTGGAATAAAGCTACAAAAATCTGAGGCGGAAAAGAAAACCAAAAGAGATTGCACTCTTGTCATCTTTGATGTTTTTGTATGAAACAGAAAATGGAGTGTGTGAAGCGAGCAGACTGAGAAAAAAGTAGAGAAACCTTTTTGCTGGAACGTTTACGACATAACGAGGAAGCGCATAAAAGCTACTATTATCACTCCATTTTTTGATTAAAGATTCATGACAGAGGACATTTAGGGATTGCAGGAATTGTGTTATAATAAAGAACGGATAGGAGCGCAAAGTATACAATTTGACATTCATACTGATGCAAGCATCTACTAATCATTTCGTTTACCCCATACACCTGCGAGTTGGTAGCAGAATAATTTTCCGTGGTAGGGGAGAGTGGGAGAAAGCGTTTTTCAATTATATAGGGTGTCCCAAAAAATATGCCTACTGTTTGATAGTTAATAACTCTCTTGTAATAAAGTCTTTCAAGAAGCTTTAGGTACCATTCTGCGAGGTTCAACTTACAAGGTCATCCATCGACGTGGGGTTTCCCCACATGATGCATATCATTCTGCTGCTTTTGGGGCCCTAATCAAATCCGTGATCCTTATCGATTTTCTAAGAAAAGTTATGAGCGATGGTTTACCCAGGATGCGGCTAAGGCTCGCTTTGAGTTTCCGGCGCCAAGGAGACGCATATGCGGACGGATGGCCGAGTGAATAGCTGCGGGAGCTATGGAGCAAGTGGTCAAGAGTTCAGATTCCCTTTGCAGCCATCATTTTTACATTTTTGCAAATTGTTCAATGTGTATATCCAGAAGGACCCTAAGGCAAATAAACGCTCATCGCAACTTAATTACATCAAATTTTGGAGATAATGGAAAAATCGTGAGGAGTTCTGAATTAGGCAGTGTTTGGTAGATCAGTTGAATCAAAAACATGTAAAACAGGTATAATCAATATAGATACTTGATGGGGAGTTTATTCGTCATTTGCAACTATGTTTTGGTCGTAGCTGGTATTTGGTTACCTAGCGAGAGAGTTCGGTCCATGCGAAGTTTTGCGCAAACCGATTCGAAAAGAGCAAAAGCTCATAGAGAGCTTCTCCTCAATCTTCTAATCAAGTTATGTGTTTTGAGCTTTTTGTGACTAACTACCACACATGCTTATAAATGGTTTGATACCAAATATAAAAAACGTTGATCTGCTTTGGCTATTGTTTCAAGCTATTAAACAAGTTGCTATTTCCTTGCCTTAGGGACCTTCTGGACATACCAGAAGATATGAATATATGAATATACAATAATGGTATGGATATACCCATTAAACAATTTGCGAAAATGCAAAAATGGTGGCTGCAAAGGGGATCCGAACTCTTGACCACTTGCTCCATACTTTCCGCAGCCATCCGTCCACATCTGCGCGTCCTTGGCGCCGCAAACTCAATGCGAGCCTCAGCTGCATCCTGGGTAAACTATCGCTCATAACTTTTCCCAGAAAATCATTGAGCAGCTAAAGATTACGGATTTGGCATTAGGGCCCCAAGAGCAGCAGAATAATATATCATGTGTGGAAACCCCACTTCGATGGATGATCCTTCCCTTGTTGAATTTACAGTATAGAGCGAATCGCCGATCTCTTCATTGGTTACAATTACGGTAGAAACCTCAAGCATATGGTGTCTCTGTGAAAAAAACTGCTTTCAAAAATTTTCAAAAAACGCGAAGTTGTGTGACAGGAATTATGTGCAAGATTGCGAAACTTTCTAGACGGTGCAACCGCACTTTTTAGGAACTTTGAAAAAAAAGCCATTACTGCTTACCTCGCATAACTTATTAATGAACTATTATATAAGTTGCGAACTTCACATTTAGAATCAGCAACTTCGATTAGCCCAGTGTGAAATTTTTCAGATTGTTTTTCCTTTCTAAAGCAAAATAAGGCCTTTCGTGGCTTAAAACCCTCTTGAAAGTTCTTACCGTTATCCTACAGTAAAGAAGAGCAGTCGATAATCCTCTCTATACCGTAAATCTAGCAAGGAATGGAAGGTTGGTCGAAGTGGCCTTTTAGAATGACATGTGCGCTGTTGTGTCCTAACTATACTGTCTGATTGTTAATAACTTCCTTGTAATGGAGTCCTTCGAGGAGTTTTGAGTACCGTTTTGTAGAGCTGGCTTCATACAAGGGAAGGAAGGTTGGTCGAGCTGACCATTTGAGAAGAAATGTAAACTAGCTCGTAGAGCTTGGAACGCTGATTCCAAATCTACCTTTGCTATCTGCTGCGCCTTCCGGGCGAGGAATTATGAAGGTTTTTGTGAGTAGAAATTTGAATGCAAGATTAGTGTAAAATCAGGCGTAGATTTCCCTAACATTCAAATGAGCAGCAGCAAGTTGGTGTAATTGAATCAAAAATATTTGTTGCACCGAGTGACCAGACCACCAGTTAAGGCTTACAAAAAAGGACGCGACTGATTTCATGCTAATCTTGCATTTGATTTTTTACTCACAAAAACCTTCATAGCTTCTCGCCCAGAAACCCGCGGCTGATTAGCGAAGACAGATTCGGAACCAGGCATCTTTTTTCAAATGGCCACTTCGACCAACCTTCCTTCCCTTGTATGAAGCCAGCTCTACAAAACAGTACTCAAAACTCCTCGAAAGACCTCATTACAAGGAAGTTATTAACAATCAGACAGTATTGGGACACCCTGTAGATGAGGAGGCCTTACCCACACCTTAAATCTTGCTAGGTAGAGATTTTCAGTTTCGGAAGGCAAAACAGCATTGAATTTGACTTTGTAAATATTTGGAGAAGCACATCGTAAAATCAATAATGCGCTAGGCAGATGTGCTTACTCTTTGCCGGCAAAGCCATGTGTATAAGCCATAGGTACGATGGTGTTGAGTTCGGTTTGTGCGCTGAGCATTCCATTTCCAATCGATAATCCCTAAAACTGTGTTTGATCAGTAATTGATTGACAACTTTGTGCTTACCTGCAGATTCATTTGTGATCGTCCGAGTTTCAGCTTTTCGAGAATGATATATGCAATCTTCGTCACATAGACGGAAGCATAACCTTCTCCAGCCAAATAGAGTGTATTGTTAGCCCTTTCGGGGTACATCGTGATGAAATTGGTAAGGGCATTCTCTATGACTGTTGCGATCTGAAAACGCTCAATCTTTAGCATACCCACAGTTTGATTTCAAAAAAGCGACCGTTTCGTCGCTAAGCTCCTCATTCGGATTAAAAGAGTAACCAATGCCAGGCGGATCAATCACGAGAAGGTTTGCTACCTAAAAAATCTTTGCTTTTTCGAGACGCAATACTTTTATGTAGGTATAGCAACCTTATTCCACGAGAAAACATTCTCGTATAGTGGCTTTCCTTCCCCGTAAGATCGAAATGGCCCAATATTCATCATCATTGCATAAGCTGAACTGCATTGTACTCCGCTGATGTACAGTATCAACGGATCTGTAGCGGGGCTAGTTTGAGACTCAATGTACCTGAAATGAAGAGTGCAGTGATGGTTTGCTGATAAATTAAAATGCGCAAAAGTTCTTCAGTAAGGATCCAATAATTCTCCAAATCTTGTTAAGTTGATGCACAAATCTAGCATCGCATGAGAAATTGCGTTGAAATCTTGAACAAATTTATCAACTTACACAATATGCTCATTGTCATCTATATCAAAGGTAGTATTTTATAGTTCATTTCAAAAAACAATTCCGAAAAAGTCGAATTGAGTAGATCAAAATTGTAGCTAATTATAGAGACATCAGATCACTATTGGCCTCTTCCCATGATCAAAATAAGTTGAAATTTTAGTGGACGTTTCAGCAATTTCGACGACAATTCGAAAAATCACTTTTTGGCTACTTTTCTACTCAGATTATATCGTTGCCATAGGCTACCAATGTATTGAAATCTGAAATTATATCGAAATTCAAGTACGTACGAGCGGGAAGTGCACGAGTCCCCTCTCCCATATGTATCAAATTAGAAAATTCCTTCAAAACAAGGAAGAAGCTTTCAGTGCAAGAATCATGCGTCAACGTAATAAATCTAAGTATTTTGCATTTGGAAAGTAATATGTTTCCATTGAAAATTAAGGCCAAGCTTTCAAGGAGGGCGGACTTTAGAAATTAGTGAATTTGAATTTGGTAACGAAAAATTATTTTAAAAAATTTGTCATACGATAACAATCCACAGGCTACTGTTGCAAGATTTCATCTGGAATTGTGACGCAAAAATAAAAATACGTGAAAAATGTTTTTTGCAGAAAGTTTCGTTTTCCATTTTTTTTTGACAAAAGACACTTTGGTGTCAAAAAACTTTGCTAGGTCTGGATAGGCACTAGGTACGCTCGATCTGCGTTGTTGTGAAGAAAACACGGTGAGAAGAGAATTCTTCCCGCGAAAGGATATTCATAGACATTTGGTTTTGTATTTACATGCAAGGTCAAAGCCTTGCCTATTCGTGTGATTCACTGCTGTGTAGAAAAGTTTTACAGATTTTTTTGGGCTAGCTGGCGTCATCTATTTTTCGTGGTCAAACACAAAATCATGATAAGACCTTTTGTTGTTTCCAGATTACGTTACGATCAGGGTCAAGCGTGTGATGCGACTGTCGCAACGGGGGGTCGTAAAGGGGGCCTACGGTGAGGGGGGGGGGTCGTAGGCCCCGGGCAGACTTTACGCGATTTGATCGTCGCGACTGAATCGCGACAAGACAATTGTTACAACATCATTCCATGCTGATCAACTTGCATTCGGTTGTGATACTTTTCCAGCCCGAAATTTTCAAATGTGAAATGAAAATGAATGAACATCTTGGCGATTAGATCGCGACGATTAAGTCGCGTGAAGTCTGTCCGGAGCCGTAAGAGGGGGTAGTTTGGATATAAAACTGTACGATTGAAAGCAAATCAAATAGCAAGTAATTATTACATGTTCTTAACAATAAATTCATGGAATGCCGTGTACCAATGTATCAAATAAAAACGAGTGAACAATAGTTTGAAAACATTTGAAAGCGTAGAAATCCGCTTCATTTGCTGCACTTTGAAAGATTATGACTTAGTCTTTTTTCCTGGGAATCGCTATTTCTCCCGCAAAATATTGTCTCAAACGGGAATCGAACCCTGCTGACGTGACTAAAATCCAAAAAGTAAACACTTTCAGAAGCTCCAATGCTACTAAAGACATGTATGTGTGATAAAGATGTTGGATGTACCAATTGGTGTAGACATCCTGCTTCCGAAGGCTCACTGAAGACTCCCACACTCGACAAAAGCGCACATGTAGATCAACGATCACAATCAATAATTCGTAAATCTTTTTGTAATACCACTTACGCGGCCCTTACAATTTATATGTACTTTAGATAAGCCCTGCTACTGCAGTGCGAAATCTGGTATTATTCTATAAACTGCGGATTTTCTTATGATTTTATGTATGGTAACAAAAAATGAGAAAAGGGGAGTTACAAAATTTCAAGCTCAAAAATCCCAGTTTTTGCTTTTTAGGATCGCATCTAAATTTGCGAGAGCCTGATCTAAATTTTTTCGAGCTCACTGCTCCTCAAGGGCTGAAACTTTTTCTGTGAATAGTCTGGGCACTATGCTACAGAACCTGTTCTTTGCAGCCCCTCAGTCTTTTCCTGGCCTTAGTTGCGAATTTTCAAATTATCGTGCTCATGCACGTTTTTGACATAGTTCTGGAAGGCGCTAAAGCGGTTTTTTTCGCAGGAAAAACTGTGGAAGAGGTAAGAACTGAGCTTCTTAGTCGAAAACATTTTTTGTAGTTCATAAATGTCGTTTTTTCTCCGTTTAAAAATTTGTGTCGCATACGGGAATCGAATTTGCTGGCCTGAAGTACGCCTAAAAATTCGAAAGTAAACTTGCAGAATCTCAAACATCATTGAAGGTGTGTGTATGTGCTAGAGATGCTGTGCGCACCCATTGGCCTAGAGATTCTGCTTCCGAAACCTCACTGAAGTTCTCACGCAGGTGTTTTATGCAGGTTACCGCGAGAAATGTGGGCAGGGGAGGTAAGGGAGATAGATGGAGAAAGGGGAGGGAGGGGGGGGGGAGGAGAGGGGGGTCGTACGGATGGGTACCTTCAAGGGGGGGGGTCGTAAATGAGGATCCAGGATCGCATCAACACGCTTGACCCTAGTTACGATTGAAACTTAGGATTTGAAGAGTGGTTGAATTTCATTTAAATTTGATCAAGAACTTTCGCGTTAGTTTAAAAGTGCTTGAGGCAAACACTAATAGAGAAAAATGAGAGCAATGTGATTTGAGAATCAAAGAAGAGGAAAATCACTCGTACTGCTGCATTTAGATAGACCACAGTAAAGTTAGGTACTCTGTTTGTTTTCGTTCAGCGTTTATGCACATAGTCTCGCAAAACGCTCAAATTACTTCTGAAATTGATTTTCATAGTAATCAGCTTAACGAGAGTAGTAAAATAGGAATGAATCTATCTGCAAAAAAAATCAAAAATTACAGTTTATGCACCAAAATGTTCATCAATCAAGATATAAAGAAAATATTCATAAATTAACTGTGGTTATTGGGTACTGAAACGTGTGAAAAGCTCTAGATTATATAAAACAAAATTATAGAACTTGTAAATTCGGTTATTCGGAGCTAATTGCGCGAAAACACTTTGAATCCTATACTTACCAATAATGCAATTGATATGGCCCGGAATCATCTGTAGAATTCAAATAGCCAGCGAATTGCTCGAATCTCGTTTCGAACGAAACTCCGGGCAGATTTCTGACCCTATCAGTCGTAGCCTGGGCCGTTCTGTTACCGGTTGCGACATCCAGAACAAAGCTCAGGACTAGCAACGTCGGCAGGCGCATGCTCGCCGTAGAAGCGATGGAAGCGAAGTAACCGCGTTATCGCTAGAGCCAACCATAAAAATGGTTGTAAACGAGCGAATTTCAGTTAAGCTCAAAGGCATAGCTTATCAGCAGTACTAATAAATTTCGACGTTTCCATGAGAAAATGGACCGTTCAAAGATGCAACAAGTGACTAACAAAAGACATTAGTGAATTGATAACTGTGTCAGCTAGTTTGTCAGCGAGACTTTGAGAATGTGCGAGTGGTTCGAGTGTTACTTCATACTTGGGTAATTGAATTTTTATCAAAATTAACAGATAGCGATAATGCGCAAACCTGCGCAAACTAAATCCTACAACTGCCATAAACGCAAATACAAATAACTAACTATTAAATCAAGATATGACCACATAATGATTATGCAGTACGAGAAACCTATCGCGCAATGAATCGTACAGGAGAAAAGCTAAAACACTGAGCAAACAATAACTTGCACACAGCAAACACATTAACATAATACAAAGAATGCTTTAGAAATAATCGGTTCAAATGCGTTCTCCCAACAACTGTCACTACACAATTGATAGTTGTCATCTTCGGTGATTCACCGCATTCTTGCGCAGATACATACTACTCATAAGGTAATATAAGTAGTAAATCGGGTTATGTAGACACATCTATAAAGACAGTTATATACCATAGATTTTCTGATAAGACATAAGATTGCGCGAAATCTAGTCCTTGAAAAGTCCGGGAACTACTTATCGCATGCGACCTACAGGCATGACACTTTGAGATTCATGAAATCATAAATTTTCTAGTCTGACGAATGATTTCTTAGTGTTTTCTGAGCAGTTGTTTCGAATAATAATTATTTTGAGCCCAAAATTAGCGAGATGTGGTAAACATGTTTGATTGGGGATTGGTAAGAAAATTTTAGATATGGTTCACTCCTCGATCTGGAGCCGATTCGGCCTCGCTCAAAGTAAACGCTTTGAAACTTCTTTCAATATGTAGCTTCATTTAGGCTGTTCATGATTCGGTCTGATCGCAGAAACTAATTTTTTTTGTTCTCGGCGTAAACTTTGGAAACTATTGAACAAAACAGAAGATAAGTTTCTTAAGACAGTGTCCAAACATTTGCCCAGATTTCTAAGTGAAGCAGAGGTCTTAATATAAAAATGACTGGAAATTGGATTTCGTTCCTAAACCTATAGGCCTTTCCGTTGCTACATATATTAGGTTGGAAACTAAGTTTTGCAACTGGTCTCATAACTTCCCTCTCACTCAACATGGCGCACTCAAATTTTGCCACTACGTGGTTATTACGCAAGCTACAAGTGCAGCTGCTGTCCTACCAAATTCTGACGTGCAGGTTACGGTAGGTGCATATGTAAGGGAAAGATTCAAAGTTTGACGGATTTGGCTGAAACTTGGCATAGGGGTGTTATCCGACTTGCTGTTTACGAAAACGATTGTGAAGTGGCGTAATAAGGGCTTTTTGTAGGATCACTGTAGGTGTACGATATGGGGTATCACCCTAAACAAGGAAAAAGGCGTTGATTCAACAAATGAATGTGATATTCGCGTTTGGCAGGTCAAATAACCTTACTATGTAAACTCTGGCGGGATTTGAGTTTCAGACTCTTTAGTCAATGACGGTCGTCTCTAGCAGCTCTTGCGTACATCGACTCGTTCAACTTTATGAGGATGCCAAATCTCGACATGCCCCTAAAATTTGTTTCTTTTTCAATAGACCAAAGGAGTCAACCTCCAGCAATTGTAGACGAATTCGGATTACTGCGCATGGTCTAGGCTGCCAAAGGCTTCATTTTAGCTTAAAACCCCAAAAATTCTCAAATTTCACTAGTTTTCGAAAAACGCCTGAAACTTTTTCATTTCGTGTTCAAAATTTAGACAATTTGTGCTCACTTGTAGCTCACATTGCCTTCCACATGATGCCAAAGTTTGAGTGCGCCATATCCACAGAGAATGAAGTTATGAAACCAATTGCAAAATTTAGTTTCCAGCCTAATAAATAAAATTCAAAGTCTGTGAAGATGTTCGTTAGGTTGTTCGTTCGTTATGGAATTCCCCGCCGTTGACTGAGTTGTGCTGAAAGTACGTACACTAATGTTTTTAACGATGAAGCAGGTTATAAGCTACTTTTTGGGCGTTCCTGGGCGTTTCTATCGATTTATTGATTTGTTTACGTATTTCTAAAAAAATGTTTTTCCATAGCCACGTGAACGGAGCGGTAAAGTTCATTTCAACCTCAGATTCAAAAGACGGGCGGATCGAAGTGGGATGTCCCGAGGTAAGTCATCCGTAACATGGAAGAAAGGAGGAGGATGCTGACAAAAACTGCATCTAAATTTCTCCATTGATCAATGGTCCGGGGCTGGATCGGGAAAGTCAGCTAGCATATTATATCATTACCTCCTATAACAAAATGCACATGGTTACTTGTTGTATTTTTCTCATGGTTGAAAATCGGAGTCGACTCAAGATGCTTTTGCCAAGGAAGTGCTGGGCTGTCGTCCCACACAAGTGAATCTAATCAGAAACTTCTGACAGTACTACAATCACGAAAATAATCAATACAAGCATAAGAGTAAAAGGGGCTGTTTTGAAATCTTTGTATTTTTATTTTTCGATTTTTAGATGGAAATGATACAACAGTTGTATATAAGTGATACAAAGTAACTTCAGTATTCTTTCTTTGCCGTACCGTACGGGTTTGTTATAGTAGTAACTTACAAAGAAAGAATACTTGAGTTATTTTCAAAATGTTTAGGTTTCAAGATAAAAGGACTTGTAACATGATATAAAAAATATATTGTGTGGATAAGATGGGTGACCATGGGAATTTGTAGGATTCATTTGAACAAGGACTTGATTCTTAGGTATTTAGGTTCTTAATCTTTTTTTACAGAACTAGACTGAATGCGATAATTCTGAGCATCTTGTAGACCTTGCTTTGCTCTATTCAATGGTTTTTACGGCCTTCAGAAAGTAAAAAAAATACTTGAAATAATAAAAAAAATAATAAAAATCTCTTGCCGAAAAGGGACCATGGGACGAATCAATATTAGATCGGCGCGGTTTCGTCCGCACCTCTTTGAAAATTCACTTTATGGTCCTTCTGAGGATCTGCACATATATGTATTACTAGCTGGCTTACCCGGCTCCGCCGTATGTTCCGAATAGAAAATTCCATTTCTTGACCGATCCGGACCAAACTTGGCACACATACCCTTCGGGCCCCGGCGGGTGTCACAGTCCACTTTTCGTTATCGATCGATGTCGATTTTATCGATTTTTTGCAAAATTTGAGCTACGGGGCTGGAACTTGGCAGAGGGGTGTAATCGAGCATGCTGATCACCCCCACGGGGGTGATCAGCATGCTCGATTACCCCACTGTGCCAAATCCCAGCCCCGTAGCTCAAACTTTGCAAAAAAATCGATAAAATCGATAAAAGTAATGCACGGTTTCGAAAACTAATATTGTATTCGGAATCCCCATGCTCACTTACCCCCCTGTGCCAACTCCCAGCCCCGTAGCTCAAATTTTGCAAAAAATCGATAAAATCGATATCGATCGATACGAAAAGTAGCCTATGACACCCGCCGGGGCCCGAAGTGTATGTGTGCCAAGTTTGGTCCCGATCGGTTCAAAAATGAAATTTTCTATTCGGAACATACGTACAGACAGACAGACAGACATACAGACAGACATACAGACAGACAAACAGACATTTAGCTTTATAAATAAGACTAGCGACCCTACGGGTCGCTAGTAAGTGGGCTGGGGCAGATACATTGATAAATGTCTGCGTTCAACTAAGAATAGCGAGAAAATGAATTTCCATTTTTTCAAAGATCATTTTCGAAATGCAAGTAGTAGAAGAAGCAAGATCAGGCTCTCAAGGGAACTTTTTACAGCGACTAACTACCAAATCATATATGCTGTTCTTCTTGCAAATACCCAACCCCAACTTCTAAAAATGGAAATCGCCGCCTAAGCACTTATCTATGTAGAACAGCTGATTCAACCCGAAATTCAGGCTGACTTTCAGGAATGTGCGACGGCCTCAAACACATCGAGCTTCGCGATCAGGCACAGTCCTATACTCTCCTTATTATGTCTCGCCAAGAAACGGTCATTTATTGAAGTGAGACCAGATTTCGCTCAAAGCTTTCTCCTGTACAATCTTAGCAAACATGTCCTGCCGCATGAAGCCCCTGGGTTTTCCTTCCCCTAAAACCATGCTTCCCTTGCTTTTCCTGCTTTTAGGCGCAGAAGCACGATTTTCTCGAAGTAGAAGCGGTCAAAAGTGGATATCAGTCGAGCTTTTGTATAAGTTTGCTTTAAACCTAAGAAATTCTTAGCAGAAAAGTTTGCCGCTTGAAGCACTTGGAACTTTCTTTCCTTCAAGACCAAGCCCCCTTTCCTTTTTGCTAAAGAGCAAAAGTATGATTTCTGCTAAGTAAAAGGGGCCAAAAGTGGACAAGCGAGCTTTTGTATAGTTAGCATTGAAATTGAGAAAATCTTAGCAGAAATGCACTGCCGATGAAGCCCCTAGGCCTTCCTTCCCTCAAGACCAAGCTCTCGCTTTGCTTCTTTGTTATAGGAGGCAGAGGTATAATTTCTGCGAAATATTGGGTTGTGAAGAAAGAGTTCGGGCACTTTTGAAGATTTTGTTTTCTGATGCATTTTTTTGCCGCTCCGTCGGAACACCAAGTTTTTTCATACTGTTCGGTAAAAGGAAGCGTAATCTTGAAGCCGCTTCTAATTTTCATCAATGCCAACATGTACGATCTGCACGTAAAAAATAGAAATCTTTCTAACCATGACATTTTCACATTTTTTCTTCCTGCGGCTATTTTTTGTGTTCATAGGTTTTCGTCCAAATCGTGTATAATCCAATCGAGGAGACTATTAGCTTCTGACCCGCAGCTGCACTCGAGTTTTGCGATCTGCGCTCAGAAATTACAAGCTGTAACTTGCCTCTGAC